ACTGACATTGCTTATAAACACATTCACCATGGTTTATTAATTTTTTCTAAATTTTAAATTGACAATACAGACTTAATTGTGGCTTAGAATGGAATTTTTCTACTTTAGAGGTTAGGTTACTAATTTGTAAAATTGAAAAAAGAAAATCGGGCAAAGAGCGATCGTTGCAAATCATCTGAAGATTACAATAAAAAAAAAAATCCAAAATTGGTTCTTAATAGAGGGCTGTAGGTGGTTTTGAACATTTTTTTTCGTTTGGCCCCAGTGTGCGACGCCAGAGTTCCGTCACGTAAATTTCCGCAGCGTGTATACGCAGCCTAATGAGAACATCAGTATTTTGCGTGTAAATTTATGAAATAAAACTTGAGGTGCACAAACAGTGGAGAAACACTATATTAACCCTTTCGATATGACACGAGTGTCCAAAGTTGATAAGATCAAGTGCCGATTGGTCACACGAGTGCGATCGCATAGCACTATAGTTTTCGGGTGTGCCCATTTTTCACTTGTGACTAATTTATTTTCACACCCTCATAGTTTAATTAAAGACAATCATCAAAATTAGTTTTTTCGCTGTAACTTAAAATATTGGAGATTTACATGTTTGGACTTGAAAATAAATTTTACATATTTTTTCACTATTATTTTAACTTGTTTTTTAAAAGCCATCTTCGTGTTTTAAAAATGGTAGAAACCATGGCAAAATGTGAAAGAGAAACAGTTGTATAGATGACATATAAAAATACAAGGTTTTCGTAGTGCGCACTTTTTGCTTGAGTGAAAAACGAAGCAGTCGTGCCTTAAATGCAGGAATTAAAATTGGATAAATTTAGCCGCTTGTTGACAAAATGCTATGGTTCCGACAAAAAAACGTTTCTCTTTGTAAGTACAATCAAATACACATCACACGTGCACCGAAGACACATTGAGACAAAAAAAAATGCGTCACGGATTAACCCCCGATTAATTAATAAAAACATGGACAACAGCTCACTCGCAGCGAGCGAACAAAATTGTCGTCGCCCTGTACAATTACACGGCCCGAGAGAGTACGGATGTGAGTTTCATGAAGGGAGACCGCATGGAGGTGCTGGACGATTCCGAGCCCGACTGGTGGAAGGTGCTCCATCTCACGACCCTCCAGGAGGGACTCATACCCTTCAACTTTGTCGCCGTCGAACGATCCGTCGAAAGCGAAGAGTAAGAGCTTGCACGTTTACTTCTTTTTTTTTCTTTTTTTTTTTTTTNATACGCGTGTCCCTGGTCGTGTGTAGCTCGATGTGTACATGTAATTTTTTTTTTTTTTTAATTTTAAAGGATAGTTGTTTGATTTCGTTTTGGTGTTACTTTTATTTTATCTCTACTTTTTTTTAGAAGCATTATGTAAACATTTCCAGAAACATTTAATAATCAGTGTCAATACTATTTATGTATTAAAAAACTACTCATCCAAACATGTATTATTATAAATACAAAACTTTTTAATGAGCGAGCAAAGCACACTTGATGTGTATAGTAAAAATAAACAGATGATTAAGAAGATGATTCGAAAATTTTCAGAGATATTCACGTGCTCGCATGAAAAATTTCAACGTATAGCTATTTCGTGAGTTTCTTTATGTTCTGGAAACCACTTTGAAGAGTAAAATTTTAAAATAGTGTGAAATACTTGTTTCATGATTATTTGGCAACATCTCTTAATTTTATTAGAACCATTCAAGTATTAATAATATTGTCTACTTTGAATTGAAAAATAGTATTGACCATTTATTACCGTCATTTACATTTAAATTTTATGTTTTATCTAAACCAAAGATAGTTCAATGAAATTATGTAATTTTAACTACATTTTGTAAAATCCAAGTATGGCTATCGTAATGATTCATGTACAAACAGTTTATTTTTACAACAGCCGACCATCATTGAAATCATTAGCGCGTGGTCTAAGCTTGAAACAATCACATAACGAATAAAAAGTTTCATTCGAAGTTATCCTCATTGATTTAATTTTTTTTTTTTTCGTTTAATTAAAAATTTTTGCTGTGCTTACTACTTTCTTGTCAAATTCAACCGAGTCGACGTATTTTTTTGATTTGTGAATGTGAGTGCAAGCTCGCCAAAGTGTGTGTGTATGTATAATCAGGTATTCCGCAATAGAAACACTTGATTTCATAAAACTTCATAAAAAATACAAGCTGCATCGCTGAATTAAATGTATCAACTTCATATCAAAGTATTTTTTATTCATTATCAGCATTCCCATGTATCCGTTGACATGAAACTTTTTCCCTCGCATTTATTTGCTGACGTATAAATACGTGTCGTATAAAATACCAGCCCACAACGTCCGACGCTGCAAAATTCAAAGCCATACCAAATTCCCCTCGTGTCTTTTATGAATATTCACACTTACGTTCCATTAAAAAGTCACAATGCGCAGTTGCCGGAGTAGAGCACATAAAGCAAACTAACGAAGTATAACAGCTAGACGCGCGAGGTTTGGTCTGTGAAAAAAAGTTTTCGACACCAAAAGAACTAAATGGTGCTCTCATAGTGGCTGTGTTTTGAAAAAAATGCTTCAAACTTTAGAAAAGCCTCCAATAGCTAGTGAAAAACAGTAAAATTTCCTGCTGATCGATAAAGCTGAAAGGCCAAAAAAAAGTGTTTTCTTTAAATCAATGTGTGAGTGACGTGGTTTCCACTTTTCCAATCGAGTGACTGATGACTGTTAAGTACTTTTCCACTCTCGTTCAACACTTTTGTTAAAAAAAAACAGAGTACAAAAGACTAGGTGGTGTACGTGGAAATTGGTGTGAATTTCGGGGAACGACTGTACACGAGATTATCTCTTGTAAATGATTCTGGACTCTAATGTCCCGCCAATCAGTCGAATGAAAAACCTTATCGTCGAGCTCGGAAGCTCACTCGAGTATAGATATAAAAAAAAAGCTGGCTCACAAGAGTTGCAGGTTCGCGGAACTGATACGAATGACACCCGCGTACTTTGTGGCGCGTGTTTTATCTCCGTCGTACGCAGCTGAGGATTTTTGTTTATTTTGATCCCGAGCGATGCGAGTTGGATTTTTTTCATTTTCGTTTCGCCACATTGACTCGATAAACATTACACGGTATCAACATTCTCGATTTCAGTTTCCTGGGGATGAGCAACAAGCAAGATTTGTTTACATTTATTTTTCACGTAGCGTACCTGTATGGGGAGGACTTTTACGCCATTGCTATGATTTCAGTATTCATGACTATTAAAAATAATGTCTCTGCTTCTGTAAAACAGTTTTTGTATCTTGGACCTTAGTGAAAGAGAAATTTTTTTTGTTTCATTTCAGGGCCCCAGTACACTTGGCGCATCCGAGAGATGATGATAACGAGAAGTAACAGGCGATCTAGTGATCTTGGGATGCTGGTTCCAGTGGAGTCTAAAATCGCTGCCCCACCGTCCTAAAGGAATCCCCCCGGTAAATATCCACTTAAACATGATACAGTGATCCTTTTATCGATTTTCTGTACACGCTCTTTGCTACCGCTTAAAAAACCTCAGGGTAAAAAAATAATATACAATAAAAGGTAAACGGTTGGAGAAAAAGGAGCAGAGTAATAACAACGCGGCTCGATCACGGAACTCGAAGCGATCGTCATCATCATTCAGTCCGGAAAATATGTGCCCACGTATATTACGCACAGGAAGAAGAAAAAACGCAACCCAATAATAATGCATATATATGTATGTATATTATAAGTATATATATACACATGGCTGCATCGAAACAATAATACAAAATAAACGCTCATTTCCGCCGCTCACATCCGCGACGCAGCATCAGTACACTCACGCGCTCGTATATCCCGCATTTGCAAAACAATAATAGCTCTCTCGCGCAAATTAATTTTTAATGGGTGTGCATTCCACGTATACACGTGTATATAATTATATATGCGTTTGCGCGCAACCCAGAGGGAAAAAGAGCTCGGGTTTCACGCTATCGGGCGCTCGATAACGAGGTGAAATATATCGTACCCCCCCCCCCCCGACCGTACAGAGAGAAAAGGCACTCTGTGTCTCATAATAATAGGCGTGTGTGTCGATCAGGGGTCCAATGAAGAAAAAAAAGAAATATATTATAGTAACGGATACAGCGTGACGCCGGTGATGACGCCAACTGATTGGGTACCGCTACATAATATTATTATGTTGCACGTATCCAGTGCCAGAGACTAATCTCTGTCCAGTGCGTGTGCGCGTCGCAAACGAGCTGGAGTGCCCGGAGCCTATGTTTTTAAATGCATGGGCTTACGCGTAAAGGCGATAAAGTATATACGTCGTGTTTTCTAGCTGACTCTTTTTTTTTTTTTTTTTTTTTTTTTTTTTTTTTACGATTATTACGTTTGTACGCGGTAAGTTTGATACTAATGACAATCACTTTTGGTTTTTTGAAAGAGAAAATTAAAAAAAAAGTTGACTCGCTCGCTGTGGCCCTAAATGTTTCCTAATCTCGGACTAGGGTTGCCAACAGCACGCAGTGCTGCATTGTATATACCTTGATTGTACAATTGATTGTGTATGACATGCTGTTAAAGAAATTATGAAAAAGTATTTATATTGTTTCTTACGTGTACATATTTTTTTTAGATAGTACATGTGGTGAAAGATACCAAAACCAATTACAAAAGAAAAAAGAGTGGGTAATCGTACGATTGACTCGCTGATTGTTATTCTTGTTGGGTAAAAAATTGAATATTACAGAAATATACATGTTTAGTCTGAACAAAGAGCGATGTTTTTCGTCGAAATGAGATTTTCTTTTTAGTCCAGGCCGGAGAAATATACTTACCCGGTGGGTTCTAATTTCAGTGTAAAAAGAAACAAGCAGGACCAACGCGCCAAAGAAGCACAGAGACCCACTTCACATGTTAATTATCGGAAATCGATGACCTTTTTCTTTTTCTTTTCCCCCTTTCTTAGACTGAACCATTTGATTGGAGTTTTCACATCAACCGATGGCTGCGTCAATACCCCCCCGCGGCTTGTTTGCTCCACAAAACCAATTATTGCTCGTTTTGGTGGATTTATTCTCCTCTGCAATCAGTTGAAAATCAAATTAAACGACGGCTCCTTTGTCTCGACCACGTATCACCAAAAAGTACTTCATTATTTTTCCTGAAGATGAAAACGCCACCTCTCGTCAAATAAACCCTCACTCAAAAAAAGTAGTTAAAGAGCAACGGGATAAACAAACTTGCACGCTAGCGTTTTGCCACAAATCGTCCCCAAAACCCACGGAGAAAAGAAAAAAAAGAAGAAAAACCCGTCGTTCCTCCCCACGGAGCCGCAAGTGGTGTTTTCATCCCGGTTATTCGCAAAGCCGTGCCCGACCCGGTTCCAACCCGCGATCGAATTCAAGTGGCGGAAAAAAAAAAGAAAAAGAAAACGAGAGCAGCGCGCGCGCGTTACCGGAAAATCGCCTTCGGATACAATATTTTGCGCTCCAAAAAAAGAAAAGAATAGATGTGAAAAAAAGGAGAAAAAAAAACAGTCCACATCCTTGTGATTCTTGCAGATGCTGCATTTGCACGAGGCGCACTAGCACAGCAACGCGCTCACGTGCATATCCATCAAAGCGTGCGGAGAGGAGGGAGACAATAATCATCTCTCGCGTCCGGGAAATGGAGGTCGGCTCGAGGTGGTGCCGCGCTTAGAGAGAAAACAAGAGCATAATAAGTGTACACGTGCACGCGCCAACCTACATGTGACTCGAACCACTGGCGCAGCTGCTCCGCTGTTGTGTCTTACTGCAGTCTCCTCAGGGGGGAGGGGAGGGGAGCACACTTTGGAGACGCTTGGCCCAGGCCTTCGTGCACACCCCCACTTGTGGCTTTTGTTTCGCGGCTGGTGCATCCGTGTATACAGTGTATACACGTGACCCGCCGTATAACATCAGGGAGCAGAGAAGAAACGAAAACCGAGAGAAAAGATGGGCAAGTGCTGCAGCAAGCGCCAGGAGCCGCAGCCAATCGGTAAGACGGCATCCGATTATTTCGTTTTCGTGCCAGGTACTTACTCGACTTTTTTTCTATTATTTATAATTATACTAGTGTACGCGCGGTCTCCTTTTTATTTCGATTCATACGTATGGACAATAAATTAATATACTTGTATGCGTCCCCCCCCCCGTTGAGTTGAGTAA